AATCCACATTTCAATCGATTACATTCTTACTCTTCTTTTTCTTTGATTTCCTTTGATTCACGTGCTTCTTCTCTTTTTCTTTTTGTTTTACTGTTCTGTGCTATAGTTGTTTCCTTCTTTTTTTTTGGATGTGATCTATTCACATCACCTCTTGTCAGTATTCGCCCAATTCATACTCATCTACGCACAAATACACACATACATGCATACATACACACACAGAGTGAGAAAAAAGAAAAAAACATAATTTACACTACATGTTAGAGGAAACAAGTACACACGCAAAGAAATATATATATAAGTGTATTTATTTTCCTTTACCATGCCATGTATTTCTCTCTTTCTCTCTCTCTTTCACTGTGTGTGTATGGGTGTTTTACCTTATTTCTGCCTCTCTTTTCTTTTTCTTTTATATATATATATATATATATATATATATTACTTACACGAATGACTTCCGCTCTAAGAATCGCTTGAGAAAGTAGAGCTGAAAGATACTCATACCAACAAGAGCCACAACCTGAAAAACACTCCATAATAGTAATCGCTCATTCGCCTCCTCCACTGTATTCCGGTGTTCCTTCTGTTGCGTGCGCAGGTGCATTTGCAATTCCTCCACACTTCGCATATTCCGCGCAATCGACTCCACACTGCGTTCAATGGGATCGAGTTCCGACACCTTCGCCACTGTACTGTAATCCACATGATAACGAAAGTGAAAATCCACCATAGTGTGACTGTAGAAGGAATGTATATTCTCCAAACAGGCATTTAACAAACGTATTCCATTCTGTGCATGAACTTCATATATGCCTTCCATGGCATTTTCCCAATGATGAATTTCGTTTCCATCCTGATCTGTGAGGACCACTAAAATACCATTATCGTTCTTACCTTTATTTGTTACTTGGAATTGAAATGTTACTGTACTCTGCGGGGTTACGGGTTCCTGCAGGCATAAGGAATCGCCGGCATCTAATCGAGTAGATACCGCCTCCACCAATCCCAATGAGAAGAATAGTGTAAAGAGTAAGAAGAAGAGAAATACAGAAGAAAAAGAAAAGGAAGAAGAAGAGGGGGATATAATAGGACCTCGAGGAAATAGCATGGTGTGTTTGTGAAATGGACTAGAGTGGCCTATTCCTTTTTTTTTTTTGTTTCTTATTCTTATTCTTCTTCTTTGTTGTTGCTGTTTTTGTTTGGTGTAGTTCGTGAATGACTCTTGTTAGAGAAATAGCTGGTGCGTTTATTTATGTTGATATGCTTTTAAAGTTGAGTCTCCGCTATTCTTTCTCTTCTATTGTGTGGTTAATCAAAGAAAAAAAAAATGAATGTTTACCTACTCGTTTGCTGATATAGGGAAATAAACACAAGTAATATATATATACATAAAGAGAGAAAGAGAAAGAGAAAAGAAAAATGAGAGTTGATAAGGCACAAGAAAGAATATTCATCAAGTATATCATTTACAGAATACTCCTAATAATATTATTAATATTATTATTATGAATGATAACAACAGCACATTGAGTGTAATAGAATTAGTCTTCTTTATACACTAATGGAAGAAAGATTGCCTCCAGATGTATTAGGAAGACACACACAGAGAGACACACGTACGTAATGTGCAAGAGAAATAAATATAATAACAATAGCAACAAAACAAGATTCATCTTTTTTATTTTATTTTATTTTTCTCGACGTTCTCAGAAATAAATAAATAATAATAATAATAATAATAATAATAATAATAATAATAATAATAATCAAATTCACACAAATGATGATCGTTTTTATTACAATGTCTCAAATGTTCTCCTCCATCATATCTCATATATATATATATCCATTTAAAAATGTAAAAATAAAAATACATTTAAAAGATCCAAGTATAATATATATACAATTCTTTAGTTTTTTTTTGATGTTCTTATCTCTTTTCTTTTCCTTTTCTCTTCTTTATTAGGATGGACAATATTTATTCATAAACCCCATCACATCCCTTAACACATCCTTCCATTTCACTTCTGTCAGCACCTCATGATATAAACCGGGGTATTCGATCAATTGTTTATCGCTCGACACCGCGGCCTCCACAAACCGCCGTGATCCCTCAATGGAACACAATTTATCCTCCATTCCATGCACAATCAAAAATGGAAATGTACTCTTCTCTATATTTGCCCAGACATCATCCATCGCCCGCATCATCTCCGCCCCCCAGCGGGCGCTGAGTGGAGGCCCGAAGTAAAATGGATCCTGCGCGGCAAACTCCACCACCGGGCGGTTTGTGCTGATGAACTGCGTGTCCAGCCGCCGCACGCCGCACTTGGGCGCACANGCGTCTGGTGGGGTGCGTGTGGGTTTGGCATACCGCAGATCGTGTGAGCCACTGAAGGTGGAACAGCAAGATCCCATCGTTTATATATATATATAGTCTATACTTCAATAGATAGTTATGTATATATACTTAGATAGATAGAGGGAGAGAGAGAAAGAAAGAAAGAGAGAGAGATAAATTTCTTGTGTTGGTATGTTTATGTGTGTATGTAGATTGATATATATATTTATATCCCTATACAGAGCTGATTAAGCTAATAAAATGGGAATTTAGATGTTTTATGGTGTGGTACTCTTCCTACAATCAAATAGTAAATAAAGAAAAGAAAAAAAAGAGAAGAGAACAGTACATAAACAATAATAATAATAATAATAATAATAATAATAATAATATCAAAAAATAAAAAATAAAGTGGAAAGTAAAAAAAAAAAGAAAGTATTATAGTAAAAAACAAAAAAAAGAAGATATAGCATACACGAGCATAACTGTAGTGATCACAATTATAGAAGAGACACTCAAATGAAATAAATAAATATATATTAGTCATTTAATTGAAGTTCATTACAAGATGCAGTAGAAGAATGGAGAAGAGCCTCCAATTGTTTAGAGAGTTGCACAACTCGTGCACGTAATGCCTGACGATCCAACTCTCGCTGCCGCAGTACGAGAAGACGTTGTTTCAACTGCATCTCTGTTTGTTCTATAGTAGAAAATGAAACCACACCATTACTATTATTATTATTATTATTATTATTATTATTATTATTATTATTATTATTATTATCACTACTACTACGAGCAGCAAGGGCTGTTTCTTTCTGTAGAGTACAAAGTCTTAGTTTCTCCTTTAGAATGTTCATCTCCTCCCGTTCAGAAGGGGCAGCTGCTAACATTGTACGATATGCCAAAAGAAGATGTTTCCCTTCTGAGAGAGAAACAGATGGAAGTGAGTATAAAGACTCTGAAGAGGTATTCATAAAAGCCGTAGAGGTTGGAACCGTAATATGTGCAAGTGGTGTATCTTGATAACAGGTACTGGCAATAGTAGAAGGGCCTATGGTATGTGTATCCATCACAGGTAATGTATCTTCTTTTTCTATACTTCTATGTTGTTTTTCTTTTTCTTCTTTTTCTTTCTCTTGTTGTTGTTGTTGTTGTGCGGTTGTTGTTGTTAATATTGTTCTTGTGTGTGTCTGTACTGTACGGGCAGTGAGTGGAATAGCGGGCGATTGAATAAAAAGACGGTGTTTAAATGCGGCTGCGGGATCTTTTACACTTCTATGTTCTGCAGAGTTCAACAATGGCATAGTTCCTCCATCCATTGATATTCCAACCGCAGCTCTACTCTTATTATTATTATTATTATTATTATTATTATTATTATTAGTAGTAGTAGTAGTAGTAGAAGGATTAATAGTAGATCTATGTATTTCCTTAACATCATCATCTTCTTCTTCTTGTTGTTGTGATAATAATAACATGTGCTCTTCACTATTTCTCATCTTCCCACCCTGCCAGGGTTGAATTAGTACACTGTGAAGAAGACGAGTGATGGCAACATCCCGCATTAACTCCAATCGCCTCACACGAGCCGCAGTCCACAGTTCTCTATACCGCCGCCGTTCACTCAAACGACGTCGCCAGCCATTTAAACACACACGGCGTTGTTGAGATTTGATAAAAGTATTGTAAAAGAAATCCGCCGTAGCCACATGTTGTGCACATTGTAATCGACATTGTGTATGTTGAATCCATTTTTGTAGAAGAAATACTTTACGGCGTTTTTGTAGTGAATGAATGAATTCTTTACATGCGACTTCACGTTTATGGAAAGAATACCACTTGTTAAAGTATATACCAGTGAAGATACAGTTTATACGTTTACTGTGAATAGTGCTGGCGGTTTGCATAATCCATCGTTGATAAGATGTAAGCATTATGGTGTAATTTCGTGTACGTTGTATAGATTGAACATTATCTGCATAACGGCGTAGACGATCGGCACGTTGATATGCAGTATGACGTAGCCACTGCAGCCAATAATAACGCATGGCTAATTCCATACAGAGAGAAGATCCTATTAATGTGTTATCTATATAAAGAGATGAAGCTTGTTGTTGTTGTTGTTGTTGTTGTTTGTTTGATATTATATCTCCTTTACTCTCTACATGAGATGTTATCTTCTGTGGGATCATCCATACTAATCGCATTAATGGAGAAATATGTATAGAACTCAACCAAGCGGATGGTGTATGTATCATTAATACAGCAAGACGGAGTTGATTTGACTTTTCATAAAGTGTCATCCAATGCCATTTACACCATTGAGAATGTAAACATCGCCGTTGGGTTTCTTTCCGTAATATCTTTTCTCTACATATACACATCGCACGCCAACACCATCGTTGATAATATAATTGCCGTATATTTCTATGGTTTCTCTCTATCATAGATGTTATTTGTGTTCGTCGTATTCCTTGTTGAGATGTCCAATCTCGCCATGCAGAAAAAACACGTCGACTCTGCATAGATGTGTAGTGTGAAGCCGCTTGAATTCTTATCTTTGCCTGATGAGATCGTTGATGATAACGCCATTGCCAGGCACGAAAAAAACGAAACAATCGCCGTTGGGCAAACCACGATAAGGCAAGATAAGTTTGTTGTTGTTCTGTTTCTAATACTGTAGAGAGACGATGATGCCAACGCCGTAGTGTACGCTGCAGTAATGTACTGCGATAAGTGACATGAGCGACTATCATTAATGCGATGGAAGCCCCATCATCTCCTTCACTCTCTAATGTAAGTGTGTGTAGGAGCGGAGACCACTTTGTGTGGGCATCTATTAACTCTGCTGTTTCACCTGTACTGCTCATCAGACTCATCTCTACACAATACACATATATATATTTATATTTATATATATGATATCAAAACCAAAGATTCTTTCTTTTTTTTTTTTTACTCTATAAGTAGTAATGGATAGTAGTATTAGTATGAATATAAAAATGAGAGAGGAATAAGAATGATTGTAGTGACTGTATAATGGAGTGTGTATGTGTATGAGAAAGATTCGTGGGGAGGCTTTTAATCCTTTTTCACTAATGAGAGTGAAAAGTAGAGAAGAGAAGAGAAGAATAGTGGAAACAGAAAGAGACTATTAGAGAGTCGCAAATGAAAGTAATGATAGAGAGAGAGAGAGAAAGAAAGGGATATATATATATATATATATATATATATATAAAGAAAAAATAATAATTAAAATAAAATAACAGAGAAAACATGTAGAAAATAAAATGAAACTCAAATATAATGGGAGATATTCAAAAAATAAATAAAAAGAATCATCAATAAGAAAGAGAGTAAACACACATATATACACAGAGAAGCATATTACGCATGATAGAAAGAAGAAAAAACAAAACAAAGAAATAAAAAGAAGAAACAATTACAAAAAAAAAAGAACAGACATTATCAGCACACATAATTATTACTAATAAAAAATTTTAAAAAAAATATAGAGTTGTTGTACAAATATCATATCTATATCTATTAAGAAGGTACAAGTAAATGCACACACACACACAGAGATAGATAGATAGATATAGATAGATATAGATAGATAGAGAGAAGGTTCTTTAATAGATCAGAAGCACAGTATCTAGCTTGCACTTTTAAGTGACTATACTCCATAGTAATTAAACACATCTCATTGGATCATATTATATTTATTTATTTTTTTCTCTCCCTTTATTCCCTGATCTTCTCTGTTTCTTTTTTTTTTTTCTTTCCTCTGCCTTCCCCATTTCTAATAAGTGTCACTAAAAAAGAATATATATATTTATTTATATATATTTAATATTTCTCATGATTTCCCCCTTCAAGAAAAAAAAAAGATATTTTAAAGAAAACTGTGACAATCATCAAAACTATAGATACAAACAAAAAAAAAAACAAAAAAAAAAAAATAATCAAACATCACTTCTCTAGTTGATATTGTTTTTATTTTTAATTTTATTTTTTTACTTTTTTTTCTTCTTTTTGCCTTTTTCATTCTCACAACTATGGACTTTAACCTGAGCCGCTGCTGCGCCGACTTGTTGAAGAGCCCGATCGCTTCAAAATAGAAGTTGGGCTTTTCGCTCTTTTCCCAGCAGTACTTTTATTATCCTTATTGAGATGAGAAGATGAGGAGGATGTATGTGAGATTGGCTGCGGAGATACGATCTCACTTCCAATGAGGCCAGTGTCCCGCAGTGACATTGTCTGTCGATGTGCATCTGCGGTGGGAGTTACACCACTCTGTGCTTTCTCCGTATTCAACGGTGATGATGCTGTCCTCTTATTATTACTATTATTATTATTAGTATTATTATTATTATTATTAGTATTATTATTAGTATTATTATTCTGGAGGATGTACTCACGTGGGTGTGGTACTTCAGCACTCTGTTGTGATGTACGTCGGTTTGGGATGTACTCTGGACCAATCACATCACTCTTGTAGAATCCCGATGTTCCCCGTTCTGGTGAAAAACTCTCTACATTTCCATTCATTTCTCTTTCTTCTTTTTCTTTTTCTCTTTCTTTTTCTTTTTCTTCTTCTTCTTCTCCTCTCTGTTGTGTTGGGTGTCTGTATAGAGTTGGAGCGCGTTGCGGCTCCACAACAGCTGGTGGGAGTCCATTTGCCCGTCGCCATCGATTCTCTGCCTCTATATTACTATCCACACCATTCTTGTGATTATCACTCACAATATCATTATAGTAGTGATTAGGAAAATGATTACTGTGGTTTATTGTATGAGGCATACCGTGTGGATGATCATAGTGTCGTTCTATATCATCTACATCTCCATACTCACTCTCCATTTCATTCTGGTTATTATTATTATTATTATTATTATTATTATTATTATTATTTGTTTGCGTAAACTTATATGCATTGGTGAGAGTAGTTGCATGGCGAGAACAGCAAACTTGCGCTGATGGCGGTGGTGGTGGGAGATTTAATTTCATACGCGCCCTCCGTACAGAGACCAGTGAAATAAAGATAGGAATAGAAAGTAAAGCAGAGAAGATAAGAGAAACACCAATCGCAATAGCATACTGACAACCCAGAGTACATACAACAGTATGTGAACCCAATAGGGCTTGTATAATAGTAACATTCTCACGTAAACGACCACCATTTTGCCAATAAAGTGTTTGTAGAGATGTTGTATCTATATTACGTACGAGATGGTTAATATCAGTATTTGATAACTCCTTATCACCATCAAATCGTATCACTGCATAAACAACAGAAAGTGCATGAGGAAGAAAATAACACTCCCGCAGACTCATCGCTGTCACACCGGGAGGAGTTGAAAGACCCACACGTAGTATATTTGCCACAACTGCTGCTGCGGGATTCATAATGGTAGAAATCGGTAAATTTGTTATTTCCTCACCTACGCTATTATTACTAGCAGCACTTTTAAGGAAATTAGTATACACGTATGGCCAGTCAGAGCCGGAAAACCAAACACGAAACACTTCTTCATATGGTCTATCACCGGTAGGAAGATGGGAAGCCCCAACATAGTATGTACGTGTAGAGAGCAGAAAGAATATCAACAAGTAAGTATAGAAATGATGAAAAGAAATAAAACGTGACCCGTTACACCGTGAGAGGGAAGAACACATCATTAATGATTTCATACTTGAGATAGTCCACTTTTCACTACAAAAAAATAAAAAAGAAAGGAATAGACTTCCCTAAACCTTATCTATCAATACGTTCGTCAGCTATGAACAAGATACAAGATACAGCATTCAAAAAGGAAAAAATAAACAAGTAGCGAAAATGATATTACCAGCAAGCAGTATAATACA